CCAGACACCCAGAACACTGCTCGTCAGCATCAGACCACAGAGCTCACTGTCGCATCACAAAGCGACAACACCAAGCAGCCGCTACAACTGACAGCTGCACAACCTGAGCATGACAGTCCGGTGTCCCACAAAACACCGGCCCTAACCGCTCATCGATCACAACACCAGCCCAGATGCCTAAACTTCTGGGAACCCTAAACAAAAGGGGGTGGCCCAAAAGACTCTACATAACCACCACCAGAGACAATCATTTGAGCCTTGAAGGCCTGTCAGACACTAGCTCAAACATCACGCTAATGTCAGCCCAACTCTTCGAAAGACTCACTGCTAAAGCTAAGAGTCAAGAACGCACTCTCAAAGCCCAAACATGTGAGCTGAATGAAAACCCTACAGCCAAAACAACTTCTGGCTCAAAACAGGTAGCTCCCATTCATCCTTTGGTCCTATGAGCCTGATTCACCCAGGGTACCGATCACGAACGATCACGTACCCACTTCTGATTGCCCAAGATCTGTTAGATCGCTTTGAGCCTTTAATAGACTTTAAACAACTGAATGCCTGAGCTCAAGTTCAAGAACCCCTCCCCCTCCAGTCATACAGGTCAAGAGAACCTAACTGGCAGGTCACAGAGGTCACAAGAACTCCCGCAGCCAGCCATGAAGGCACAGCCTCAGCACCAAATGGAGAAATGAACTTGCTACTCTGCACCTTTCAGCTCACTAAAGACTTTGACTAACCAAATGAACTCTGAAACTACCACCTCTTTACCCCTCCAACCTCCCAAGCCTGCCGTCGGACACATCAGGCAGCACACCAAGAACATGCTGCTCAACGGCCCTACAACTCAGTTTCATGCACCTCGTGACATCACTTCGCCACGGCTTGTGCTGCCACGGTGCAGAAAGGGGGATATGCCAGTGTATGCCCAGTCACGCACCATGTGGGCTGCACACCGCAGCACCAGGACATCTCGGCATCCTCAAAGGCATCAGACTGTCCCAGCCGACAGCCGCTGAATTCTTTCCTCCCTTTCTCTCTCTCTCCCCTGTCTCTGTTACAGGATGCTGCTGTGGTCGTCTTCCTGTGCCTCCAGCCAACCAGAGGACAGCTACTGTCGACCGCCTCACCGCCGGGTCCGACATCAGACAGCATATGGTCGACTGCCACGCAAGCAGAGCTAAATGGACTCCCACGCCGCTGCTGTCAGTACGCAGTCAAACACCGGCCTGTCCAGCAACCAAACGAACTGAAATCCCACAGCCAAAAGGTAACTCACAACACAGAGTGCCTCCTCACAGACCATCAAGAAATTGAAAGGAACTGTGATAAATCCGCAACGCACACAGCATTCTACTGAACCAGACAAGTGAGCTCCAGCGAGACAACTGTTCACTGTCTGCCAGAATGACTTTGCTAAAATTCACCAAGCAGCCTTTGCTCCAAGACCCGAGCTACCCTGCTGCAACCGAGCGTGAGTCAAGTCCCAGCCAGGACGAAACCCACGATTTCACCCTGATTCCAGAACTGGAATTATGAACGATGATAGAAGGGGTCCAGCCAAACTGGACTTGTTCCCAGTGACCGCTGTGTCTCAACTGCACACCTGTTGCACTGCACAACTGCCTCACCGGTAGTCCAATCCTGGACTGCAGCTGATTCTGCACTGGGTACCTCTACGGTAATCAACCACACCCTGACACTTGACATCCACGCTGCACAAGAGGCAAGGAAATGCAAACCTCCACAGCCACCACGGGACCCTCAGGAAGAGGGTACCACGCTGGAGACTGCGTCAAACCTCAGCAAGCTGAGCCCCTACCTCAGCCTAGCCGCCGCCTGCCACCTGACCCTCATGATTCACCTGCCATCCGTCCATTGCGATGGTGTCGTTCGATGAAGTCACACAAGGACTTCACCTAACGAAAAGGGGGAGATGTAATGAATCTTGGCCAGGCGAGTTACATCAACACATACACACACACACAAACCTTTCACTTCCCCCACACATCGGAATGTGTGGAATGTTTTTGAACAAAGAGAAGGACTTTTGGTGTTTAAAAACATTCAACAAAATGTTTTCAATGGTTTTTATGTATATGTGTCTTCCCCATGTCACAGTGAAATAACTTTGTTTGATCACAGTTTAAATAGGAATTAAAAATACCTTCGTCATGCATTTGAAACATAAGTGTATATTCCTTTGATATAACATAATGTTCCTTGATATCTCTAGAATGCTTATTGAATGAAACACTCGAATATGCATAGAGATGTAAAGTAAAGTGTATTTTTAATTCGTTTTACTGCCAATGAAGATCAAATTGTTATTATAGAACACACCCCCTTCCACGAGAAGCGCGCGCTGAGGAACAAAGGACCATAAAAAGGACCATAAAAGAAGGCTTCTCGCGTGTAATATCCACTCTCCGATTGGCTCAAGCCAACAGGAAGGGGATGTATTTCTCCAAGGTGATAAATGTGAGAACGCAGGTCCGCCCTCTCTCTTCTGAACTTTCCAGCGCTCAACATGTAAACCTCACGGGACTCTGATCCAACCATGGTCTTTCCTTTTGTTCGTCTAAAAGTTTCATCTTTTCCTCAAGTGGACTACCAAGTTCGTCTTCCAGGAAAGGAAGTGGACTTTGCCGAACTATCTCCTCGGGTAACGTCACCTCAAAGACTCTCAGCCTTTCAAACACTGGCGCTAAATGCCGACGAACGCCACGTGACTCCCCACGGAACAAAGCAGCCATGAACGAGCCGGGACGGGCCGCGCAAACATGCCGCGGCCGCGCTTCACGTGATGCACGCGCGCCGGACCGGCGCACCTCTAGCCGACACGTGGCCCGAACGGGTCGAGCAACGAGCCCACGACTCACACAGACCACATGTGCCTTGCAAGTATACCTTCCTTTAGAGCTTCTAAGAAGCATTAAGAAGATGTTTTTGGGGTGTCCAGAAAGGTTAACTGACTGTTTTGATGAACGTAACTCTCCCTCTCTCTCTCAACTCACTCTCTCTCTCACTCTCTCTCTCAAACTCACTTAACTTGCGCGTATCCATTGTCTAAACGCTCTGCGTCGTCTTAGTTTGTGTTTTAATGTTTGTAAATACATGTATCATTGTAACGTAGTGAATGCTTAAGTAGTAACTTTATTAAATGCAAAATATGCTTACCTTGACTGATTGTCTTGCTCGTGATACGGGTCAATGAAATGTCAATCTAAAGCTACACGCTTTACAGAACTATAAATACCTAAGAGGGTATTTGGTTATATAGCAGGGAAGGCAGATTCTAGTGGCCACAGAATTTGTTTTCACAAGCTATATAACTTACTTGAGCTAATTGATTTTACCTGTCTTGTAAAACGTGGTCCTTGCAATCAATAACAATTAATTTGTGGTGGATTGCGGGGATGCACATGTATGCATATGGGTAAAAATTAATAAATTAACATGTAAGACCGGTCTGATCCAAATCTGTATGAATAATTATTAATTATCAATTATTAATTATGATATGCAAATTCCCCCCCCCTGATCAGAACCGACCCAGAGTCTTTACATGAGAGACGTCGTTTCCACGTTGATTCAATGTCAGTTTGCTGTCTGGGTAACTATCTCGTTCATGCAGTATCCATATACAAACAATTTACCTCAACAAGGCAATATAATAAACGACACTCGTCTCATTCGTGGAGGTGGAAAAACTAGTTTTTTGTGACATGCAAGATTTGTTGTATTAAAGTGTAAATGCAAAAGAAAAGGCATGAGAGTCGGTTGTTTCGTCAATTTTAAGTTTTCATTTAAAATTTTTGCGATTTTAATATAAGTCCATGGTTACATATTTGACCACTTGCTTGAGCAACATAATATATAGAAGTAATGCATAGAGTAATTTGCTTACGTTGTTGAAATAGTGAGTATGTGTTAAAATAAAAATAGTGAGAACCGGGGTGTTTGTGGTATAGCCGCGGATCAGTTACGCACTGCAAATGCAGCATATAAAGCACTATACCGCGCCTGGCTTCTGTACCGTATAACGTTACACACCGCACACGGATTATATGTGAAACCTGTGGTAAAATGATGGGAACAGACCTTTCTGTGGGAAGTTGGCTGAAAATTTAGCCTATTTATCCTAGCTAGACTCTCCTGTGCTGGCTCAACTCTGTCTCCTTCCCTTCACGTTTTCTGGCAGTCGGTAACTTATCGCGTAAAACAAACTTCGGGGTTATTATTGCTGTTGTTAGAACAGCCGTGTATTACACAACACACCATCACGCTGTTTAAAAAAATACAGTGATGATACCACGGATAATACCGATACCTTGCTTGTCAATTGATAGACTGACAGTTGCCGTGGTTTCTATGTCAACAATATGGCCAACGCAAACATTGATAACGCAGATCGAATAACATCTATAGAAATGCATCATGCCACAGACGTTGTTGCCACAACATAAATGTGTTTGCTGGGCTGCTACTTCACAAGGTGTGAAACTGATTTAGCTCACAAGACTGACAGGTTCAGTAACTATTTTCATATCTCAGACAATGAAATCATTTAACCACTGTAAAGTGTAGTACTGTTTAATTTCATTGTGTTTTGATTCTGTTTCCCCAGTTCCTTGTTTATCTCCTTGGTTATTAATTAATCCCGTTCATGTTTCTGTTCTGGATAATTATTCCTCTCTGTCTATTTAAGCCCTGTTTCTCGTTTATGTTGGTTGAACTTTTTATTTCTCCTAAATGTGATCATTTATTTTGTTAAAGATTGTTTCTTTGAGTCTCTTGTGCCGTGTAATGCAACATTGTAACCTGACAACAACCTGGGTTTAATCCCTAAACATCATAATTCATGTGAAAGTATTATCTTTATTCATACTAATGGCATGTGCCAACACCTACATAATAGGTGAAAGAGTAAATTTACAGGCTACAAAAACTAGTTTATAAGATTATATGTGTTCATTTAATTTTTGGTCTCTGTTTTTCAGGTTCTCTCTGCCAGTTAGATAGTAAGTTGTCAGACTCCTGACCACCATAAAGCTATTGTTCCACATATCCTGTGTGTAATATATAATATTAATTAAGAATTCCCACATTGTCTTTCCTCTCACCAGTATGTGGTCAAGCCCCCCTCAACAACAAAATTGTTGGAGGGCAGGCTGCAACAGCAGGGTCTTGGCCGTGGCAAGTCAGCATTAGCCGCTATGGAAGCCATTTCTGTGGTGGGAGTCTAATCAATAAAGACTGGGTTTTATCTGCAGCTCACTGCTTCCAGGAGTATGAAGTTTAAAGCTTAAATACAACAAGACATTATTATACATTGATGTTTTAATTAAAACTGACTATCCTTACATACAGTTCCATTGATACAAGTACCATTGATATCTACCTGGGACGTCAGAGCCAATCAGGCTCAAACCCTTATGAGGCATACAGGACAGCCAGGAAAGTCATAAATCACCCTAACTATGACGGTCCTAGTAAAGACAACGACATAGCACTGGTGGAGCTCTCCTCTTCTGTGAATTTCACTGATTACATTAAGCCAGTCTGTCTGGCGGCTGCTGGTAGTGTATTTGCTGGAGGCACAGAGAGCTGGGTGACTGGATGGGGAACGCTACTGTTTGGAGGTGAGAGAATATTTGCTTGCAAAACAACAATGCTTCAAAGCTCAACATTTTTCTGTACATGGCCATTAAAAGCTGCAAAAATTGTCCTCTGATCTGTGTCACAGGAGAGCCTTCAGACACACTGCAGGAGGTGATGATACCAATTGTGAACAACAGTGCCTGTTATAATGCTTATGGAAGGGGCATCACGAACAACATGATTTGTGCTGGATTGTTAAATGAGGGAGGAAAAGATTCATGTCAGGTAAGATATCAGTCATTCATTTTAAACTAATGAGGTAAGGGGGGGGGGGTATTCTTGATTTTAATTTATTTATTAAAATGTTAAAATCATAAAAAGCATCGTAATATTGTAGTAGTTGTAGACAAAGGTTTATTTTATTCCAGATTAACATTTGAGGAAAGCAATTTTATTCATAATGTCGAAATTATAATTAAAAAGCAAAACTGATTTGGGAGTGAGTGAAAATGGCCGCCAGCTACTGATTACAATGGTAATTTGATGTCTTTTTTATTTTTAAATAAGTGAGTTTTCCTACATCATGAAACTTGATTTTATAAATGGGGTAATCTTTGAAGGATGAACAAATAATATTTTGGACATTAAAAATAACATTTAAAGGAGCTGTAAGCAATAAATTTATTTCAATTAATCATACATTTTCCCTGATATGTCACAAGACATTAAGAAATAATGTTCATTTCAAATACTTATATCACTGACAACAGTAGTCCAGCCAGGATATTGTCATTTAAAAAGGGAAGTTGCAGACCTCAACTGGTGTTGATGTTGTCATGTTGTGTTTTGGTCTGATGCTCCACCCTCCACCGATCTACCAATCACAGAATCAGTAGTGTTGCGGCATTCGGGTTGCTGGCTTTTCTCTAGGTACCACAGCTGCAGATACAAATCGGATTCGGATAAAAAAAATGTCTAACGTTGCGAAACAAACAAAAAAAACCTCAATATGAATCCGAAACCTTTGACAAATTCCGAAATAAAAAAAAACTCCCTGTGTAGGACTCGTCACTTGCCATTGGAAGGTTCTTGTAGCAGCCTACGTTCCTGCTGGATTCTGCAGCATATCTGGCAACCTTGAGTCAAGGGGGAAGGAATCACTTTCAAAATACACCCTAAATTGAAAAGTTATTGCAGTACCAGTTTTGGCCACAATCTTGCATACAGCTCCTTTAAATATGAGAATAGAGTTTTGAAGTGCAAATTCAAATGCTTTATTTACTGGATCTCTTGGCGCTCTGTAGAAACAGTGTTGCTTGATCAAGATCGTCTCACGCTGCACTGATATTGATGGTCCAAACTCATAAACCTTCCGAATGAAACCACATTCTTGGTTTCTGTTTTAATATATATATATATATATATATATATATATATAGTTGAATCTGTTTTAGTTAATTCAAAACATCCAAACAAATTAGTACAATGTGACCACAGTTTACTTAAACGAGGGGCAAAAATAGTAAATTGTGGCCATGAATTAACTACGCCACAATATATAATTCTATACTATATATATTATATATAATTGTTGTGCGCAGGGTTCTCGCTGTCGCAAGAGTTTTTTGACATACATCAGCATGACATAAGAGCAAGTTGGACAACACTTGAACACATTTCTAACCGGTGTGCATCTCGTGGTTATCAGTATAAAATAAAATAAAATATAAAAATAATAGTCAGTTTGTAAAATTATTCAATGTATATTTTCAGATATATCAATGTTAAGTGTTTATCAATACAGGGAGACTCTGGAGGTCCAATGGTCAGTAGGATCAGATCCCTGTGGATTCAGTCTGGCATTGTGAGTTTTGGTGAAGGATGTGCTGAGTCGAAATATCCCGGTGTGTATGCCAGAGTTTCTCAGTTCCAGGACTGGATCAACTTTTACATGGACAGCAACCCACCTGGATTTGTCGAATTCAACTCCAATGGCTTCAGAAGCTCACCCAACCTCCTTTTATTCTCCATTTTGCTCACATTCTCCTTAATTCCTTTCATGCACCATCTCTCTTTGTTGAGAATGTTTGAATGACCGTTCTCAGGGTTCTTTGATAAAGAGGACAATAGAATTGGACAGGTTTTCATAAATATGGGGAGTAGTAAATCGTTATATTGTCATTTATTCTCTTTTTGTATTTTATTTGTATTTACTAGTCTTGGAAAGCTACTCTTATTATTGAGTTTTTACTTCTAACTATTGCACACTAATGAGGTTCAGCGAGCTTTTGCCCTCAGAATGTTTGCATAATGAGGCTGGAGATTAAATGTGAGACATAAATGATGTTTGCAAATATAATTCATACCTGATTATTGTCCTCACTTTGGGTCAGAACTGATATTTTGCTATCTCCTGTGTGTTTCTGGTTTGATTTATATTAAAGGCTTCATTAGTGATATGTCTTTTTCATGCACTCATTTCCCCCCGCAGTTTACAACACAAGTAATTATAGTTTACCTAAGCAGTACATACATGTAGATATAAGTGAACAATACACAAAGTTTGGAAAATAAAGGGAATACATTAAACATTATTTAAGTACATCTTATCATTATTTAAGTATTTAATAACTAACAATTCTAAAATATTCTATTATTAAGTGGTATGAATGATCAACTAACTGCTTACTTTTGGGAGCAGTTTTTCTATGTGCCTTTTGGTTACAATAGTGTACCTATAGGCTGAATACAAGCTGTTACTCTCTGTATTTCTCTGTATATTTAATTTGACCCAGTTTCATTGGCGCTAGGCCTGTGATTTACTTGAATGAGTAAAATAGGTTAAGAGATTTCTAAAGCTTTGAAGGAATAAGTCATGATTTCGTCCAGACGCTACACCTGTAATCAGTGGTGGAAGAAGTACTGAATCTCAGTACTTAAGTAAAAGTACAAATAAACAGATAAATTTTACTTTAGTAAAAGTAGAAGTAACACAATGACAACCATACTTAAGTAAAAAGTAAAAAGTACTTGATTTTTAAATGTACTTTAAGTATTAAAAGTAAAAGTACTTGTATAACAATTTATTCTCTTAATGTCTATTTTTTTCTAATGATTAATAAAACATTTCATTCTAACTCGTTCCACCTAATACTCCTATAATGATGTTCAATGATTATGGAAAAAAATTGTTGTCACCATTTCTGAAACAAGCTTGCAATTAGGCAATATGCACATCATGCTTATCCTTACTATATATTAATAACTATGTTTGGCAGTAAACGCGATTAATTTATGGTGTAATTCTGAACCTCTTGGCTTGCCATAGGCTAATCCTAACCAAATGTATAGGCCTATTACACATGGTGCGTTTCCTATGCACATAAAAACAAGTTTTCGCGTATAAATTGTGCGATAAACACACTGCGTGCGAGACACATTTAGTGTGACCGGGTTAATATAACAATGGCAACCAAACGTCACTGGTGAGACAAACGTGCAACGAACGGATGGTCAGATAACGTTTTGGCAGGGGAAAAACTAACAGTTTTAGTAACAGAAGTAACAGAAGTTGTAGAAATGTAGTGGAGTAGAAAGTATAATAATTGCTGCAAAATGTAACGAAGTAAAAGTAAAAAGTATGCACTATTTATTCTACTTAAGTAAAGTAAAGATACGTGAAAAATGTACTTAAGTAAAGTAACAAAGTATTTGTACTTCGTTACATTCCACCACTGCCTGTAATCCACAGCCTGGGTAAACGGTCCTGAGGGTTAAGGGGTTCAGGGTTAATAATAGCTGATGTCAGGTCTATCTTGGAGCTGATGGAAGGCAAATATGGCCAGGATGCCACCCAGAGGCAGAGGAATCAGGTGCTGGCACCGCGCCTAAGACAAAAGTTCACAGCCTTCTTGGGGAAAGAGCAACAACAGCAGCCATATTTACTGCTGATCAAAAAGATGAAGCAGAAAAGTCGATGTACCTACAGGAAATGGCTATTAATAGAGAAGAGCCACTAACTTGGTGGAAAGCTAACCAAGGACGGTTCCCTCTCATGACCAACATAGTGAATAAATTTTTGTGCATATATGCTACCATGGTCCATCTGAACGATCCCGGCTAAACATTGGCCATGTTGTCTGAAAACTGATGGAAATGAATAGTTGAAATAAAGTCGTTATTTTTGTTTGTTTTTGCGCACAAAAAGTATTCTCGTCGCTTGATAAACTTAAGATTGAGCCACTGTAGGCACCTGGACTATTTTAACAATGTCTTTAATAACTTTTCGGGGCTGGCAAGTTTCAATCCCCGAAGAAGCCTATGGACTAGTATGGAGGAGTGAACCAACTCTCAGATTGAATCGAAAATATCTTAATTTTGTGTTCCGAAGATGATCGAAGGTCTACTGACAGAATTTTCACTATCCCTTTAAGACCCATTTGAAGCCCATTAGCAGTGCACATGGTAAGTATTTCTCTCAGAATTTTTCAAACATTTAACTGTTTTCAGACCACTGAAATTAAGTTTTTTCGTTCTTTGGTGACCCTTAAATAATTTTTTTTATTCAAATGTATATTTTTAACAGCAGAATTGTGTAATATTATGCAAATGTAGCATGCCATTTGCTAATAACAGTTCAGCTAGTATTACCATGTTTATTAACATGCCACAAAAGCTCAAATTTCCTGTGGTGTGACATGAAATGTCCTTTGGTGTGACACTTTGGCCTGTCTCAACTTTATCGTGTGGAGCTATGTCTACCGAGGTGGGTAATACATCATACATAGTATCATTTAACATTGACATGTACATTTTTGTATTCTGTTATGAAACATAATCCGTAACAGGAAGTGGGCGGATGAATGTAGCAAACATTACCGCTTATTCTTATCTTAATTATAGATTAATCTACCCCCAAAAGGAAGTGTGATGAGTTTATCTTACAATTGTACAAAGCTCACATTGCAGTTTTTACTAATCTAGACAGGATACATTATTGGTTACAATCAATGTTTCACATGTTATTAAAGAACAATTACAGATAATATCAGAGTTGACCAAAGTATAAACAATTTTATTGACACAGAAACACTAGATCAGCATCTGTTTTGCAAGATTCTATGTCCTTTAGCTCTCGCCATTCCGTAAATGCACGACCAATATTTATTCTTGTGCTGTCCCTCGCTCGGTCAACAGCTTTCTTCATCTCCCTCACCTCCTCCGCCGAGGACCGTCTCCTTTTTCTTTACACTGGAACTTGTGAATCATTATCCATCATCGCATGTTCTTGGATAAGTACTTCATTACCCAAAATCCTGAACAATCCCACAATCCAACAGTGATGCATCTGATTGGTGGAAGTCGTGTCACGTGTCTGAAACCCTGCGAAGGTACGTGAAGACTGAAGATCGCGTGATGACGTAGGGCTAAGTTCATTGGTCGCACTTCTGAGACACCCGCGCGCCATTGGATGTGCAGTTGCCACAGCTTAGCTAATGAGCGAGCCAGAAACTCAATGTTTTTGCATGTTGAGCTGCAAATGCGTTTGCTTCAGTAATTCGAGGAAAAGGGGTTTCCCTGTACATTCACTATATAAAATTCACTGGAGGAAAAAGTTCACGTGCCCTTCGTCAGATTTGAAAGTCGCTCAAAAGGCTCTTTCACGGTGGTTTTCAGACGACTTCAGTGAGGCGCGGTGGTTTATGGGAGGAGTAGTTCCTTTGCTCGTAAATGAAAACATGTACACAGGCTTGTACCCTCGACTTTTTTTGTATTTTCTCTTCGTTTTTTCACTCGAAATGATGTGTTGTATGCTTTTGAGTTCAGCCGTAGCTGATTATCCTCAGACATGCTCTAATACTCTTTAGATATGGATTTTACAAAATGTCAATGGGAGAAATGAATGGGAAATTTACTTCCGGCACCAGCGCTCTCTCGGGCTGTGGGCGGGACTGTGATGCTCTATTATGATCGGTTCAGAAATCATCGGGCCAATCAAATTGCCAGGGCGGGCTTTATACGATGATTGACAGGTGGTCTTCAGTAACGTAATGCTCACGTCATCAAAGTGTGCTTGTCAAAGATGACTGCAGCTGGAGAACCCATGCAGGACAATTGAGATGTATAGATTCCACTGTTGCGTCTTTTGTAAAAAAAAATAAAAAATCAACAGCGCATTCATTTTAATAGACAAACAGAGCACTGCAATCAAGGCATTTGTCGATCGGAAAGATATTTTTGGCGTCCTTCCTATATACTACATGATTCGGGAAAAGTGTAACTTATCAGCTGGCTCTGACGGTCGCTAAGAAGATGGGACGTAATGAAAAGCCTGTGGTCGTTGTGGTTTCTCCTTTGGTGGCACTCATGGAGAAGTAAGTAAAAGAAGTAACACTCGTTATTTAACTTCTAAAATAAATAAAGTAGGTTCTGTATTTGAAAACTGCGCTATGCAAAGGAGTTGACTTATGCGTTGCTCTGATTGGTTGGTAGGTCTACCGACTATCCAACTGAGTGCAGAGGGTTTTTTTTTGTCCTGGTACGGTTACGACACGCCTCATAATCAAAGCCCAATGGAGGAGTTTCAGACTCAAATTCTTTCTTGAATATGAACGAAGTCAGGCTACAGCTACCCGGCACTGCCTGCACAACTTAATCTGAGTAGTAATCAATTACGTAAATAAATCAAGCCAATTTTATTTTTATATTCTAAAGTTAATATCACTTTTATATTATTATTTAAAAAAATATAAATATATATTTATAAATAGAAATAAAATATAAAAAATAAAAATATAATATATACTGTAAAAATTTACATTCTTTGCGTGCCAAGCCCACGTCACCTCCAGCGGGCATTTATAAGCAAGGGTATGTGACCATCGCATGCAGAACCCGATTTTTCCCTGTGAGTGGACATCCCATACTACCAAGTTTTGTTTTGTTCCTCAGCACGTCACAGAACAACTGACCAAAACATGGATCTAGCAGGTAGTAGCCAGAGCTCACTAAGCAAACTTTGCACAATTTATCAGGATAATCGCCGCATTGAGGATTATGTGGAAGAATTCCTTTTGTATAGCCATCTCGTTCCTGATATTGAAAACACATTAAAGGACTGTTTCTGGAGTGGACTAGATCTAGACATTAGTTTAAATTTACCAGAGGAGGACCCTAGGGATGGAGAAATGAAGCTTCATGAAGCAATGAGGCTTTTCACTGACTGTTCCGGGAAAAGATTCAAAGCTTTGAGAGCGTCGAGAACAGCGCCATCTGGTGCTTATTTAAAATAAAGCAGCCAGAAGCTCTGGCAGATGAAGCAACACACTACAGAGTTTCAATATTATGTCTAAAAATAAAAACCTTACATGTTTGTGTTTGATTTGTTCATTTAATAAATTCATTTTCCCATTAAAGTGTGACAATAAAATATAAGCATATATTACTCAATAAGATTTAA